AAAAGGAGCTTATTTAAAACAGCAACAGAAACCTAACAAAAAACGTTGAAATACAAAATAATATAAAACCAATACCTAAACTAAGATATAAACAATCAGAGAAGCTGATTAATTTAACGCTGGCTTCAGTTTACAATAATATTTATGAAGTGGCTGTATTTTTACTTTAAATATACTATGCGATATATTTTTGAAAATGCGTGCCAAATCGGAATGTTGATTGTCCCACAATGTCAAAACATTTCAATTCAACAATGTGAATCCTAATTTCAATATTCTTGCGATATAGTGTATAAATTTAAAAATGTCTAAAAGCGTTGCATACTTTTGAGGCGAAATATATTTATTTGTGTCGTAAAAATCTTCTCTGACATTTAAATTACAAGTGCTTAATTCTTATAATTTGGAAAATGAAACAGTCCTATAATAAAAGAATAAAAACTAAATGCGTATAAAATGAGAAAATGTTTGAAAACCATATTTACAAGTTGTAGAAAACTGCAAGGCAATCATAAAACTAGAGCTTCAATAAATAAAATGAACAATGTCATAAATGAAATTGGAAACAACTTTAAATAATTGTATGTCTGGCTAAACAAATTAATTGTTGAAAATGCCAAAGAATGTTTTTGGATAAATATATTTAAGCCAATGGAAATAGATATTTGCGTTATTATTGTGGTGAAAGAAATGATAAAAACTAAAAGTTAGTGCCAATTTGTAGTGCAAATTTTTGTTTGCCAATTTGTTTAACGGATTTATTCTCTTTGTTGAAACTGTATTCAAAGTACACACAAAAACAGTTGGTTTCAGAACCACCAATTTTTGGAAATTTTCAAACAATTTAAACGATAATAGTTAATAATGTAAACTACTTAGAAGACAGCACCGCTTCGTTTTTGATGTGTATAGAACAAACAAAAGAAAACAACATTAATGAGAATTTAATTCAATTGGAAAACTGAAAACTAACCCACAAAACTAGTTAAATAGCTTTAGAGCTGAAAAAAAAACACATACACACACACCTTTCTGTTCATTGCACAGCTTACACAAAAATGTTAAAGTAACTCTACAGATCGCACTCTTTTTGTATGTATATGGCGAACACTGGAAGATCCATAAATTGTATTTGAAAGCAGCACTGAAAACATTTTTAGATTACAATAAACAATGAATTAAACGGAAAATTGCAAAAATTAAGAAGGGTATTGAGAAAATGAATAAAATGATAATTAAATGAAAACTTGTTTATCTGTGTACAACAATAATATTTAAAATACTTCTTAAATGTGTACTATCACTCTATACAAAAGTAATACAAGAAAACAAATGAAGAATACTACACATACTCGTACAGGACTAGAGTGGGCTGATCTATGGGACTATGCTGAGTATTTCATAAATTTAGATATTACTTGGAATTGATACAAAATCCAAGAAATACTGAAATGAGTTCTGAAATCTGATAAATATGAATGTAAATTGTATAGATTTGGAAAATTCGGCATTGTGAACCAAAATTCATTTGAAATACCGCAAGAATTTCAGATTTACACAAACCAAGTGCAGTTTCCCATATGATATAGGGCTCTGAGACACCCAAACATATACAAGAATACTTACAAACATATTTGTTAGGCACATACATACCCGAAGACAACATAATCACAACAAAGTTTAAACAAACACACAACCATTTAACTACATACAATAAGCAACGGTAAAAAAGCGGTATTAATACATCATTGCAAACATAATGGCGAAATGTACAACAAAAATGGTAAAAGTTGAAGGAATACAAAAAGAAAAAAAGAAAAATAATAATAATACAAACAAAAAGCAAACATTATTTACAATATATTTACAATTCTATAAAAATTATATTTAAAAATATTTACATATATACTATATATGGACAAATGCAAATCATCATGTGTATGTACGAGTATGTGCAATATGCATACATAATACACTACACACACACACACACACACACACATAGACACTAACATTACCAACACACAGACATCGTAAATATGTTAAACAAAAGTTATACACACACATACATACATACGTGCAATAAGAAACAAAAGAGAAACAAATGGAGATACACACAAAGTTAAGTGCATTATAATTGAATTTATAGATTTAAAAAGCAAAAAACAAAAGGAATACAAAATGTTCAAGCTATTAAGTGAATTATTTAAACCGATTATAGTAATGATTAATACCAGTGCATATGTATTTATTCACTACTCATATAAGCATCATATATATAAATACATATATATATATATATACATACATATACATATACTGCAACTTTTTCGTTGAAATTCAATTACGTATCAAATTTTACCATCATATCAACATACATAGACACCTCAAAGCCCACACACACACACACACACACACTAACACTAACACACACACATATACATATTGCAAATTTAGCCAAGTCAGAAAGAATTTTAAAGAAACCAAATACAAAGCTAAGTGTATTGCGTTCTCGAACTAAATGTGTTTTGAGTCAAATTTTTACTTCAAATACCAGCAAAACAACCGTAATTAAAAATAAAAACCAAAAAAAAAAAAAAAAAAAAAAAAAAACAGTAAATAGCAAACAAAAAACATAAGAACACTGGGAATATTTGGAGATTCTTTCTATATGTATTGGGTGTGAATTTAATTGAAATGTACCAGAAATGGGGAAAAACATGGATATGAAAACAAAAGAATAAGTCAAACAGAATTAAACACAATTTTTGAATTCATTAAATAAAGGTATGTGTTTAGATATATTCAAACAAAATAACAACATATGTCTTCTTTATTAACACAGTCCATCACTGAAACGTAAGTATATTAACGTACATTAAGAAATCAATTAAATAACACTTCAAATTAAATAACACTCACTGCAAAACCAACTAGAAAAAACTTTTTGAAAATCGCATAGAAAGCTTTAGTTAAGAGAGTAAGCACGTGAATGAATAATACATAAGTAGAAAAGAGAGAGCGAGAGCTAGTAAATCAAAGAGAGGGAGGCCTGTCGTACATACTGCTAAAAATAATATTAATCAGGTCAGCATTACTTGAATTCCGAGAATCGTGTCGTAGAGCGATTCTCATTCAAAAGTGAATGCGAAAGTCGTAAGCCTTTATTAATTATGCATTCAATTTTATAGAACAGACAGGTCTTAAGGCAACATGTAATACGGTTTCCGGCACACTTTCATTTGGGGCCCCAAAGGCCAATATAATTGATCATTAAACTGCCACAAAAAAACCAAAGTATTTACAATTCGGTTTTCACAAAGCTCTAAAGTTTCATAGGGTTTTTCTACAATATTTCAAGATGACAGCTTAATAATTGCCTAGGCACGAAGTTAATGGGCTAAATTATTGCAATAGCTGAGAGCAATGTAGATCTCAAGGGAAATGCAGGCAGTCAGACTTAAATGATTGCGAATAGTTTTTGAGCTATTGTAAAACCTTTTTTTTTTTGTATTGTGTTTTTTAGTTTAAATGATCGCGTAATACTTGTTTTATTGAACCACACAAATAGAAATGTAAACGATTTTTATTTTGTTTGTCATTATCCATTGATAAAATGTGCCGAGAAAAAAGTTTATACAAATAAATATAAAAGTGTCAACATCAAACATAAATAAACAATAACTTATGTGCACGAGTCTCTGTCCCATTCATAAACAAAACATCAAGCGAGCGAGAGTGAGAGCAGAGAGAGCGGCAGAGAGTACCTGTGGAGAGAGATGAGGTGTGGGAGCAATGTTCGCATTTATAAACAGTTTCTACTATTACACAAACTTATATGTACTATTAGCATTTTTGATTGGGACATGTGATAGTCGGGCTTGCGATTTGTTAACACAGTTGATTACGTCGACAGGGGAAATGGTTGTGACTGCGACAGGCGGCACAGCATAAAGCACGTGTAGATGTAAAAATAATGAAAAAAAAACCCCAAATGGGTCCATATAAAGAAACCCTCAATCTCCACCTCATTGCTTGGCATTGCTTATTTGCATATTCGTTAGAATCGAAGGCAATTAAAACGTAACTCGCATTCGTGTCCGAAATAAAGTGCAGCAGGTGAGGAGATGTTTGCCTTGGGACCGGTTCTTTTTCAGCATCGTTTACTTTTATTGAATGTCAATGCAATTGGAAATTCATTTCAACTGCATGGAATGCTCAGCTCAGCTCTTAAGAATTTATTGTTAAACCGCTTTATTTTTGCATATAAACTGCATTAGCTCATAAGAACTTCAGGTTCAAAAGCTTAATTACTTTTCATTTTGCTTGAAGATTTTCAGTGCTGCCCATTAATATTTTTATTTTTATTTTCATTTTATTTAAAACGCCAGATAAAAATAGAGCGTATTTCAGTTTGGAAAGAACATGCTGGCAGCACGTGAACACTATATATATATATATATATATATACTACTACTACAACTCGAGTCGACCATCTAAAAACAGGTCATTTATCAAATTTAGTCATATGTTCCAAATAGTTTGTTTAAGAAGAACTGAAAATCCCGAAAAAGGCATTCTACATAAGAAATAATAATGTTCATTGAATTTAATTTCCTATAATTTTGCTTTTGATAAAAGCAAGCTGTTGTAAACATTCAAAAATCTGCTTAAAGATGCAGTTTACTTTATCTACTTCAACACTATTATTAAGAATTCCCCATTATTTAAAGCCCATTTCTCCTTATCGAGAGTGTAAAAATTTCTACGAAAACATTGATTATCTTCGACATTGAATAGACTCGTTATCAAAGATGTATTGGCTTAACTATAGCAATCTTATCAAATGGGAGAGCGCATATGCTTAGATTTTCAAACTTATTTAACAGGACAGGGCCTAATGAGAGCGCACCTCATAATTGGCCCGAGTCGGCAGAGAGAACGACAACTTTGGGGCCGACCACCGTGCGGCTGCGGATCGACGATCGCAGTGTGTCTCGCGTTTCCATGCTGTGAACAACGTAAAAGTTGTTCGCGTTTAAAAATAAACTTGGCAGAAAGAAAAAAAGCAAAAATTATAAAAACGCCCGCGTATAAATAAACCTACTAAATGTACGCAATAGTTCGTTAATTGTGCACAGATTTGGATAAACAAAAAAAAAAGTAAAAAGACAGAAACCAAATGACGGCCCCTGAACAAGCGCCACTGCCGGCCATAAACCAAATGGAAATGTCCGTAAATTCAAATGCCGCCGATTCGGAGGAAATAACACTGGACGCCATACTGAAGCACATTGGACAGTTTGGACGCTTTCAGTTGTTTATATTTTTGCTGATCTGTTTGCCAATGATGTTTCATGCCATGTTCTCTGTAACATACGTTTTCACGGCCGGAACGGTGATGCACAGGTGAACTTTACTTGCAGTTAGTGAGTTATTTCGACATCCAGTCACAAAAGAAATTCTTCAAACCAACAGATGTAACATTACAGAGTGCGATGGACCCGACAGCCGATACGATGAGCCCTGGACCGAGTATAGCATACCAAAGAATGGCAGGGACCTGGACAAGTGCAATCGCTACGATAACTATCAGCTGTCGTCCTGGAATCAAACGCAGAATATCTGTCTGGCCGATAACTATAATAAGGAGAAAATCGAGCGATGTCCCGGCAACGATTTCAAATTCCGCGATCAAGAATTTACCATTTCCAATGACGTGAGTATCAAAGTTCGATTGCGATTAACCACGTAAGCGAGACAACGATGGGGGCCCCGAGACTTATCAGCCCATAAACACCAGACTCTCGACTAGCATGGACTTTGATAATAAGTCATCCGATTTCTGCATACCCCAACTGGTTCAAGCGCCACTTCAGCAGCGCTCTGAGAGCGGCTGGGCCGACTAATCCAGTGTCAGTGTCAAGCAAACTATTGGGCAAATTTCTCAGCTTGAAATCTTATCAAATTTATGAGTTCAATGACTAGGGCAGCCCCTAGTTTTTTTCATTCTGTCTTGTCAATCGTTTACGATCATCGTCGATTAGTTACCCTCGAATGGGGCCTTTAATGTTATAAAAGGCACGATAAGAACGCGACAGACAGCTGCAAACCCTCTAGTGCTCATTAAACACTTGTACAAATTTAATTGACAGCGTCCAAAGGGACGTTGGCTATCAGTATCTATTTTAACCATTTTGGAAAAAGTCAAGTCATGCAATATTAGGGCAAGTTTTTCTATGTAACTAAAGCCAAGTTGTTTTCATAACAATCTATATCATTGATTAAATATAACTTGTTCATCTTGTTCCTGAACATACTGCTTCCCTTTATTTTTATTGTGCCACAAAAACTCATTTTTTACATATTTTACATTTTGGATAATATAACTGTTCTGTTTTAACATTCGTGACCAAATCTAACAATTATATTTCTATGATTATATATTTAAAGCAATTTTAAAATAGAAATAATTTCTATAATTAAATCTGTCATCCGAACAATGAATCGAATACTAATTACATTCAACTTGAATATAGTATAATATAAATTCATTAAAAAAGTGTTAATTTCAGCATTAACATATTAGAAGCAATTTAATATTCAATACAACTCAATTCCTTACGATTTCAAAAGTCCATAATCTCTTGTCCCACAATCATTTTCTCTTCTACATTTAACTGAACTTCCTTCATTTGTCAGTTCAGTTTTTTTATAGATAACTTTTATTTAACTAAGGTTATTATAAAAAGACAGCTTTACAAATGTAAATTAATCAGATGACCTTAGTACGCAACGCGATCAAAACATCTGAAACAACAGACCACAGTAGACCTTTTAGCGTGCATCGAACCTTTTTCCAAGGCAAGCTTTTAGCTTGTCACCAAAATTGGAGCGCAAAAGAGTAATGAATCTTTTATAAATGTCAGCTTAGCGCTCATACAATTGTTTATGGGGCTTACCAAAAATAACTGTTACTTAAGTACATTTGATAAGCTCAGCATTTGAAATTTTATCACTTAACTAATTGGCTTGTACACATAAGATAAATGTGTCACAAGTCAAAGTCAGAGACTCTTCTGAACTGCGTCTGGGCGACCCGGAGCTCAGTTTTCAGGGGCACAAGCAATTGCAGCATAAGTAAATAACCATTCTAGATTAGATATGCAAGTGACAGTAAATTACATAAGAGCACACAAGCAAATAAGCTGGCGAGTCAAGTGAATAATGAGCTGCAAAATAAATCTTTTGTTACGCCAATTTATTGCGGAAACTTTTTCATCATATTTGCATTATTGGATCGGGCCGGGCATGGGGGGGAACAAAATAACTAAAATTGTAATAAATGAACTTTCTGAACTTAATGGAACTTTTTTACAGTTTGAGATTTTCTGCGACGATGAATGGAAATTATCACTCGTCGGCACAATAAACAATCTGGGACAATTCTTTGGCATACCGCTCGGAGGTTTTGTGGCCGATCGGTATGTTTAACTCGTATAAAGCAATTTTTCCTTTACAATACTGTTAATTTTCCATTGTCTTGCAGTTATGGTCGCAGCTTTTCCATTGCCTTGGGCGGCATTTTGGGCGCCGTGTTGGGCATTGTGCGCTCCTATTCACCCAACTATATTTGCTTCCTTGTTTTCGAGTTTTTGGACAACATGACCAGCAGCACCCTGTACTCAACGTGCTTTGTGATTGGCATTGAGCTGGTGGGCCCGAAGCGTCGTGTGCTCGCCTGCAGTGTCATAACCATTTTCTATGCCATCGGCGAAGTGGCCCTGGCCATGTTCGCGAAGGCCTTTCCGCACTGGCGCACTCTGCTGCGAATTGCCTACACGCCTTCGCTGATTCTGCTCGCCTACTTCTGGATCCTCCCTGAGAGCGTGCGCTGGTTGCTAAGTGTCGGCAAGGAGGAGCGAGCCCGGGGCATTCTGCGCCGAGCGGCCAGGGTGAATAAGCGCAAACTGTCGGAGAGTGCGTTGGACAAATTGGTCATAGCCAATCGGGACAAGCTGCAGCAATCCAACGAGAGTAAATTTCCCATTCGTGAGGCCTTCAGCAACTTTAAGTGGCGCATTGCCAATTGCTCCTTATGCTGGATTGTCCATGTGCTGGTCTACTATGGGCTCAGCTTGAACGTGGTGCTTTTGGATGGCAATAAGTACAACAACTTTGCTTTCATTGCACTGGTGGAGATTCCGGGCTTCTTTATGCCACTTCTGATCATGGATCGCTTTGGCAGACGTTACTCCCTGTGTGGTCTTATGCTGTTCAGTGGCCTGTGTTGCATTGGCACCATTTTCGCAGGAGGCGATCAACAAGTCTTGCAGCTGGTGCTCTTCCTGGTGGGTAAGCTGACCATCACGGCTAGTTTCCAGGTGCTCTATTTCTTCGCCTCAGAAATCTTTCCCACTAATCTGAGGAACAGCTTGTTGAGCTTCTGCTCCATGATGGGCAGATTTGGCTCCATGTTGGCGCCGCAGACGCCGCTATTGGTAACTTTATTTGATTTTCTATTTGTCATATCCCTATAAACCTAAAAACTTTTCGATCGCACTTTAGGCCAAGTATTACACAAACGCTCCAGCCATTCTCTTTGCTTGCGCTGCCATATTTAGCGGATGCCTCACTCTGTTCTTTCCCGAGACCACAAACCTTGTATTGCCCACAACGGTCAAGGAAGCGGATGCCATTGGCTTCAAGAAGAAACCGCCAAAGGATCAGAATATTAACGTTCCCGCATAATAGGCTCAATTAAATCTACAAACTAATTTATTTTAAGACAACCACGAGACAGTTCAAAGACACAACTTTGCATTATATATCACTAAATGCAGCATATATTTACATATGTGCTGTACATAATTTTTTTTTTTAATATATTATTTATTTATAAGCAACTTTTAAATAGTAATAAATAATAGCATTGCATGCTCCTGTGAGAGCCGAACAGTAATATGTGCATACAATAATACTCGTCCTGACTATTGTAAGATTATGATAAATTTAAGTATGACATAGGTTTTCATTATATTTATTGTACTAAATCCTTACGGGTCGTTTGACGCACGATGCCAATCCTGCGTGTTCAAAATGGTGTGTCCATACCAGATCCTTAAGGATTTCGCCAAGTTATGGCCAAAAAACTATATCCTTTTTATAAAAATAGCTCTAGGTGAGCAAAAGAGATATTTGTCTATAAGGAAAGAAGGATGTTGATTGACGTTATCCTTGCGTATGACAAGGACTATAATCTGCCAAAAGGGCATAAAAATCGTCCTTATAGTTTCCGAGATATGTTATTTTTTAAGTCGACATTAAAAACCAAATAGACCATAATTTGGTCACCTCAAGGACCATCCCGATGTCCTTTGGCCAACATGCAGTCCTTGTCTTGCCAACTTAGAATATGTAATAAAAAGGACGAAAGTCCTTCAAGTAGCTGTAGAGAGGAGATTTTTGTCTGTTAAGAAAGAAGGCTGTAGATCGTCCGTATCCTTGCGAATCATGATGTTCTTTAACCAACCGATAGTCCTCATCCTCTCGATTCAGAATACACAATAAAAAGGACGAAAGTCCTTCAGACAGCCTAGATATTAGTAAAATTCGTTTGAAAATTACGAAAGCCATAACTTGGCCGAATCCTTGCGGATCCTAGCTAGTCATATGTCAAACAAATCATATAAACAAGGACCATAAACTGGCCAAAGGACATCAGAATCGGCCTTTGTTTTGCTGAGTTATGACTAATTTTCTAAAAAGGACATTTTTCAAATAGCCATAACTCGGCCAAATCCTTAAGGATAGCTGAAGGATATACCTTTTTAAGCTCGTAGTAAACAGGACTATCGATTGGCATTCAAGGATTTCCAGAATTCGACAAAAAATTTCATCGAAATTTATCCTAGGGGGTTAGTCGCAAAAGTGGCCAAAATCGAAAATATCCGGGCTAACTTTGCCATTTGAAGGACTATCTGGATGTCCTTTGGCCAGCAGATAGTCCTCGCCCTCCCATTCAAGAATTTACAACCCAAAGGACAAAAGTCCTTCAGACAAAAAAGTTTTAAGGACAATTTTGTATACCTTAAATAGGCCATAGCTCGGCTGTATCCTTGCGTATCCTTGCGAGTCATGTGTCAAAAAAATTGTATTAACCAGGACTACAAGCTGACCAAATTTCATTAGGATCGTCCTTGTAGTTTAGGAGATATTTAAGGATTTGTGTTTTCGGGCCATTTCCGTGCGCTCCGCGACTGAAATTTTACAAGTCAAAATACAAGTACTGGGATTCTTAGATGACCCCATAATTTGATGATGCAGATCGATGCAGGGGGTCTATACGATCCTAACGCACCATGTCCTTTGAAAATCTGCAAGGACATGCCCGAGTTATGGCCTATTTTCCGCTTTTATATAATTATTTACATGCTCAATTTAAATGTGTTTTTTTCTTTTCAGACTGGCAAATTAACGACTACAATGAGCTCTAAGGACCTCCACGAGTGACAAAGCAAATTTTTCCAGGATCGGACTTTAATCAAGCCAGATATAGTGATTTTAATTTTCAATAAGCTAAAATTATAATTTATGCTCGATTTGTATAATTTTAAGAGAAATAATTAAGCAAATTAGCATAAAAAAGAATTGTATAAATTTAGTTATAAATAAATAATCGAACGCCAGGAGCGTCTGTTGGCAACCGCTGGCTGACGAGATTTTTTCTAAAAATCTGCCAAAATACCAGGCGAACAGAAATGCCCAGAAGGTCGACAAGTTCTCCGAATAAAAAATTTCATTGCATAGCCTGAAGGGGCAAAAATGTAACTCATTTAAAATGGGTAATGTTAAATAGCAGTTCATGTAAATAGAGTGCTGTAAAGCGGCTGTTAAGCAAAAGCTGCAGCTGCAGCTAATGTAAAAGCCCTGCTGAAAGAAAAAGCATACATATTTTTGGACCATTTCAAAGCGCATTTTGCAGAGATCTGATCCTCTAGGTTCCCAAGGACTCTATCGATGGTATGGTATGACCAAGGATATTATTGTCAACTAGGAACCATACAGGGAGCGGGTCTGTTGCTGGGGTGGCTGAAAAAGAAATTCACACATATTTTGGAGCCGTGCTCTTGCGCATTTTGCAAGAGCCTGGTCCTTTTGCTTCGGTAGGACTATATCCACGGTATGGAATCCCCAAGGACATATAAATCCACATGTACCCACAATGGCGATCGTAAATGTTTGTCCATGATATGGAGATTATATGTTGTCCATGGGCGTGGCAGATTAGGCTGAAAAATACAAAATAAAAAATATAAATTAGTTCTTGTAAACTAAAACATATCGATTAGATAACATTTGATTTGGAAAAGACATACTCTTTAGAATTAATGAAATCCTTTAAAACCGACAGCACAACGAAAAATGTTGATTTCCGAACTTTCCAGACTTGGCAACAAATTAACATTCTTTTTAATGTCTTAATTGTTTGGATTAATTAGGGGTATGTATGCCATGAAGATACCAACGATACTGAAGATTTTGCTGTCCATGGGCGTGGCAGATTTGCTAGAAATACAAAGAGAAATATGAATAAATTTTTGCAAACTTAAATATATTGGATGTAAAATCGATAGAACTTACACTAAACATGTTGATTTCAGTAACCGTAACCACTGACATTTTGGTCAAAATTTAGAATGAAATTTAGTGGAATGTATATCCATGGTATGAAATAACCAAGGTCATCTAGGTACCAACGATATTAAAGGTTTCCTTGTCCATGGCAGATTACGCTGAAAAATACAATATTAAAAATTAATTAGTTTTTTTCATGATTTCGAAAGGCTCTATTTTGGTTAAATAATGTCCAAAATTGGAAGGATATAGCTTTTGGGATCTGTAAAGTCTTTAAAACCAACTAGCATTTGCCAACCAGCTTGATTCATTGCTTTTTGGGTCAAAGTTTAGAATGCGATTTTTTAATGCCAATTGATACTCGCGAGCCGTACGAATCCAAAAACGTATACAATTTGAGATACGGACGCTATTTACCCGAGAATATGCACTGATAGTATTTTCCGACAAGCTTAACTCGACTGCTGGCATTTAATTAAAACAGAATTATGTTGCGCTGACGCAAAGAGGACGAAAATCGGTGCACAGCAAATTGAGAAAACAAACCAAAAACTCACGTGAGCGCCAATCAAAGGTAGTTAACGCAAAAGCAAGCATGCACATGCAAGCCTAAGTAGATATCACACATTCAAAAACATACATACGTATGTATGCAGAGATAACCGTTCAATATGAATGTACGCAAGTATGTGTATATGCGTGCTGGTGCATTATCTACTTATGCATCACATCCACACACATTTTGCAAGATTTGCTTTTTTTTCTGTGCGTCGAATATTTGTTCCCATTGCGCTCGTGCAAATTAGTTTCGCGTCCGTTCGATCACACTAGTGAAATGCAAAATATATACACATATATTTTATTATTTAACACACACTAATAGTTGTAGTTGTATCACTCAGATAATAATTGCTTTAATAGCCTGTAACTCGCACCATTCCAACATACCTAATTGACTGATGAGGCCACACTAACACGGCATAAAGTTGCTCAGGTCCGAGAACTTCAATGCGAGCCGTTATTAATTGGACCAATCAGCGATCAGCACCAAAAAAGAGCTGTGAGTACATGAGCGTAAGAAGATAAATGACAGCGAACACACACACAAACAGGAGGATGCTTATCTCTGGCCTTGGCTCATCTCTGCAAATACACGTGTTTGTGTGAGTGAGTATGCTAGTCAATGTGTCGTATCGTTCTCACTCCAATTTCGATCGATTGCTTATTTGCTGTGCGCCGGTTTTTTTGTTCGATTAAGGCGCTCATAATTAAGCACTCTGTTAATTTGACCTCAGTAGTCAATATGAACGACATCTCTTTTATTAGTTTAGTATATTCTAGGAGCAGCCAATAAGTATATTATTTAGCTTTTTTACACACATACACACATACAAGTATACATGTAAAATACAACTGATCTCCAGATAAGTTCTTTGAAGCGATAAGAATCAACAAAACTTCGTGTGAAGCTTGGGAAAGCACACACAAGTAAAAGTAGATATATGAATTGCGAGAACACACATCCACACATACATATACATGCATGCATACATACATATATGCAAATGCATATGTGTATATGACTTCCAAACTTTATTAACTTCCTATTCATCGCGCTCTCACGAATTACTTGCAAAACGAAGAGATCAATATTTTTACAGGTTCTACATTGGCCCATTTAAGTTCGATTTTTTATAGATAAGCATTTTAGTTTTTGTTTAAATTGGCTTTAAATTTTGATTCCATTTTTGTCAAAGTTTAGAATACGATTTTTTTTTCAATTAATATCCCGTACGAGCTTGAAACGGTTTTTAGCCGAGAATTTTCACCTTTCATATGTTCAAAGAGCTTTGCACAACTGCTGCAATTTAACTTAAACAGAATTATGCTGAGCAAGCAGATAGAGCAGGTAGATAACTCACAAGCAATCACACACATGCATCTTTATACCCTTGCAGAGGGTATTATAATTTTGTCGTGAAATGTGTAACGCATAAAAGGAGACATCTCCGACCCCATAAAGTATATACATATATATATATATAAAGTATATATTCTTGATTAGTATCAACAGCCTAGTCGATATAGCCATATCCGTTTTATAACTTTTTTGTTTTCAAGATTTCTTAACCCTACTCGGCAATTACTATTTTCCCTGTGCACTATGAGCACTATGAAAAGGTTGGGTCTGCAAGAGTATTAAATATTCGGCGTGCCGAAGATAACTCTTCTTTCTCATTATGTTTTCAAGTGAGAAAAAGCTTTTTGGTCCACTTAGCAGCCATATACAAAGCTCTAACGGAACAGAGCTTGCGCCGTTGGCTGCGATGCTGAAAGTTGTTTGCCGACCTCCTCCAATGCAGCTGATGTTGCAGAAGTTTTCAAGTTGCCTTCCGACTTATTTTCATTGTCAAATGCATATGTACCTAAAGTGTAACTTAAATTGTGTTATCTATGACGTACGTACCTTGTGTTGTTTAGAAAGCTTGCGCCTTGAGTTGAATAGCCTTCCTGCACACCAGGAACACGCGCGGCGTGTTTTCGTCTGGCAAAATTATCAGCAAGTACTCTTTATGTTCCGTTTTCTCGAATTATTCTTGAAAGCCTCCCAACGGCAGGCGTTTATTTCAATTGTGTTTTCTGACTGCAGTTGTAGTTTCAGTTCCCCCTTCAGGTAGCTCTGCTTGATTGAACTTACGTTCTGTCCACGCTACGTCAGGGTATCTCAAAGACTGACAAAAGTTTCGCCTGCATCATTTTAAGTATATTTTAAAACCTACTGAAAGCTGTCGGCTTGCGCTTTTGTTGTGTTCTAAAAGCTCTCTTGAGCTCGTTGTTGTTTTCGTAAGCTGGGTTTCTGAGCGCGTGAAAGCTTTCTCACTCAGTTGGCATAAAAGCTTTCGCTGCGAGTGTCATATTGGGGGTGGTTACAAGGCGGAGCTTTTACTGATGTACGAGATCATGTGTAATTCGTTTGCTATAAAAGCTATGCAATATTTTCGTTAAAAATGCCCGCAGAGCTTTATTAATATGGGAAATAAATAGGCATTTATTCTATGTATGTATTTCGCTACACTATAAAAGTTCTATGGTAAATGCACGCGATATCTTGCCATATTACGAGTAGCTGTTCGCGCATTGCGTTTAGATAATTATTTTTCTTATCTTAATTGCTTGCCATAAATTGCAGTGATCATTCGGAATGCATATTTGACAGCATTTTCCATTGAAAACGTTAATTAAATGTGTTAAAAGCTTTGCATAAAACCACAGGTGTTAAATGCCGATTGAGGGGCGTGCGGGCTGCAAGGCAGCAACAAATTTTGAGCATTAATAATAATTCGCTGAAAGCACGTTTTATTTGCTATTTAAAAGCCAATCAATTGGCAATAAATTTCAATAGCTGCTCAGTCAAAATTAAATATGAACATGCATGTATGGAAAACCTCTTGGAAAAACTGCAGATGGGCGTCGACATGTCACATCATTCATAATTTTTTTCTTTAGAAAGATGTCAATTAAAATTGTTTAAACAATTTTTGCCAAGCAGCAGCCGCTCGTCAATTGTTCAACAGCCTTTTTATGACCAGCCTCAATGTTTCACGCCTTGTGACTGTTAAACAATTTGAATAGTTGAGGCTTTTTTATAGATTCGCATTTTGTGCGAGATAATATTGTCGTAAATTGTGCCATTAAGAAAAAGTTGGAATTCGGACCGACTAATTCTCAGTTCTAAGCGGCTGATTGCATTTTACGATCCTGCCTCACATATAGAGCCGTAAGCCTCGTTTTATAACCATGCCAATGTCCCAAGAATAATTGTAGGAAACCTAACATATAAACATAAAAACTGGTCTGTCATGCACTCGCCCCCCCCCCCCCCCCCCCCCTCAGTTGACCCCTTAGAAAACGGTCAGTCTGCAGTTTGATTGAATGAATGATTGAGAGTGTTTGCCATTGACGGCGTCGCGGCGATGCCAGACCGCGATAATAATCATCAGCTGGTTGGTTGTGTGTGGTCTTACAACTGTTGGCCAGCGAGTGCTTGAAGGCAAACGTTTGCCAGCCGCTGATTATGTGATTAGAATATTGACAATTAAGCGCACATAAATTGATTTACTTGTAATTTTTAATGGCGCCCACCGCAGCGCATTTACGAGTCCAATCGAAGAAACTGCGGCGGCGAACAAGTGCTGCTCATTGTGAAGAGATCGGGAGATCAGCATAAAGTAGAGCTGCAGTTAAATATGACTGATCACCTACAGTACGTGCACTTAATTACTTTTTGAATAGAAAAAAATATAAAAACACATTCAAAAAAAGCAACAAGACCCAAATAACGTATATATTACACAATTTATAAAGATTTCTTTAAATATTATTATTAAAATATGCTCATGAGAAAATAATACAAATGTAAAATGTTTCCATTAATAGAAACCGGCTATGAAAAAATTTAAAAAATAAAAAAAGTTCTTGTCAGAAGTGGGATTCGAACCCACGCCTACAGAGTAGACTGCGACCTGAACGCAGCGCCTTAGACCACTCGGCCATCCTGACTGTTGTGCTGGCCGTGTGCAAAAACCAATGGCATTCTAAGGCGGCGCAACAAGTTGACTGGCGGACAGAAGAATGGCGGTGGCTCCCCTATTTGTAGCAGAGACCTTAAGTATACGCCATGTATTACATGTGTTGGCCAATCACACTTAACTCTTTGAACTTGGGCTGCCTACGCGCGGCTCGGCTCGTGAATGCGCATGAAAAATTGCATGTGGCGCCCAGAGGCAAAGACAAATTGCACTCGTCGCGTCATGGAAAGGTGTGTACTGCCCCGACTGACAACATGCAACAAGCAATAAGCAACAAAAACAACAACAATGAAAAGTCAGTCAATTTGTACGATTATGTTTTGAGCTTGAAAAATGCAGCGATGCGAACGATGATAATAGTAATAATAAAAATGTAACTTTAGTCGAAATCAGGTCAAAAACATACATCAAATTGAGTAAGTTCGCCGATTGGCAAGTGTCACATTTTATATTTATTTTCATTTATTATGCAACCACTGACAGCAGACAGAAAAACAACAACAACAACAGCTAAAAAGGCGCTGCCCACCCACTGCCGAAGTTTGTTGTGCATTTTCAATGAGTTATGCAAAATAATTAAGTTACAGCCGAATAATCAGTTTGCCACTGGCAAATGTCAACTGGCCAGCGGCCAAATTGCGCCCTGCTGCCAATGCTGCTGACATTTCACACGCACCAGCAACAGCAGCAGCAGCAGCAGCAGCTGCAACATCAGCTTAACGCGCAGTTGCAGTCGCATTTGTTGTTGTTGTTGCAGCCACATGTTGCTAGTACCGGTCGCACGCACTTTCAATGCATTTCAATTAGCTTTACTGTGTGCTCCACTTTGACTTTGAGCGCCAAGCCATGGGGCCTCGAATGATATTTTCATTTTTATAGCTTGATTGTAGACATCTGATAGGCATTTATATATGTTAATCAGTTGGCTGACCTGACAGCTAAAGTTAATTAAAGTTAACGCTCTCAGCTGGCATAAATGCAATGCTAGCTGCACCGCGTTAGTGTTCGCTGTACAAGTTATTTGTCTATTAATTCACATGTTTATTTTGCAGACAAGTACGCCGAGGCATTCGCCGTACTTTCGGTCGAGCATAAATTCATTGTGATTAATGATACACACAGTTCTTGGACAACTGACCTATTTCGCCGGCTTGTTGTCTAATAAAACGCAAAAGTAGTTGAAACAAAATTAGCAAATTGCCCGAATGTCAATCAAAAGTCATCAATCAAAATTTGTGCTACTGTCAGCCCGACACAATACATATAAATATGTATCGTATATAACCAAGAAGAAAACCCATAAATATGGACGCGCAACGGGGCGCAGCAGTGCAGCAATAACTGCACTCTGCTCCACTTACAACTGCAGCAGCGGTGCGGTGGGTGCAGCCAACGCGGCTCGAGCTTGTAAATTAGCATTACAATGGCCAGTTAAGTGGGTCAACAACCACAACTGCAATACCAACAACAGCAGCAGAGACAGATAAATAGGTATACTCAAGTTGTAAGCCGTCTGAAGCCAAAGAAGACATTGAAAAGTTTGGGCGTACTTTTCGTACTTCTTATACCAATATTCCTTCTTTGATAACTTGGCCGAAAGTAAACAGAGCTTTTGTCTTGACTTGTCCTCTAGGCTAATCTTGACACAAATCGATTTGTTATGTGAAGTTGCCCGTTTCTAGTTACCCAAGCCCACATCTATTGGTAAATTAACGTGGGTGCACAAAATTGATGCTCCATCTGAATCCCATGGAGCTTAGACAGAACATTATTTTGGGTACACCTCGAACCCTGTCAAAGCTGCAGCGATTTATATGCCTGATGCCTAGTTTTGGTTTCAAAAATTTGTAGCAATTAATTTTTGACAGAATCTAATATAATCCGCACAGCTTTTATTCATGGCCAAGATTTATGAGCTTAGCTTTTGGTCGAGCATCACCCGCAAGAACATTAAAAGAAGTCAATATACTCTTTCAAGTTCAAAGTTGTCAGAACGCACAGCTGGAGCCAGACAATTGGCAGAGCACTTTGACCAGTTCGAGCATTCATCAATTTTGTCCACTATATTTAATTTTTAGTGCTTTTTTTTTCTTAGCGCAGAGTCGCGACATTTTATGCCAAATTTGTACAAAGTTAATTAACAGGTTTCATTGTTTTTTTAGCCGCACAGCATTTCAGATGTTTGCCTGTTCTGTGCTCTTTTTATAACCGCAACAAAAACACACACACACACTCACACGCACACGAACACACACACAACCGAACGATTGTGGGGGCGTATACATAATATCCAAGCGAGAGCTCTCGGGCACAAAGAAAGCGAGCTGAAATCAATTTTAAAACATGTTTAAGCGCTTGTTTTTGCCGCTTGGCTAATAGAAATTTAATTAGCCATGCAATTTGGTATTTTTCCCTCTCCTCACCAATTTTTCCTTTCTGTTCATTTTTGTAGTTTTGTTTATGGTTTTGCGCTTTGAAGAGTTGGCGCTGCACGTGCAGCCAAAGCTTTGATATATGAGCACTTGTGTGTGTGTGTGTGTGACTGTGTGTGTGTGCTGCCCACGCATGCGTGATTGACGCTGCCTTTGTATCAGTGTGCGAAGTGAAGAAGCCAAGACAAATAAAAAGACACGAAATAAAAACAAAACTTTATGGCGCACCACACACCCAGCCAATGTTGTTTGCTCACTCTCACTCACTCACTCTGTGGCTCTCTCGCTCTCGTTTTGTATGCGCGCTGCTCTCGCTGGCGATCATTGCATGGTCTGTATTGAGAAGGTGATGCTTAGCGCAGAGCGTCACGTCACAGATGTGTGTGCAGTGCACGCGCTCATAAGCTGACTGCTGTGACGTCACGCGCAGAGCGTATGCTTGAGAGGGAGAGCGTGAGCGCAACAGAGCCAAATCTGCACCTCGCTATACTTTGCGATCGGCTTACTTTTGTGGTTGCCTGCTGCTTGCTTCGCTGCTGCCACTGCCGCTCGCTGCAGTCAACAGCGCAAAGCGCAACGCGTCGGTTCGGAAATTGTCTTAACGGAAAATTACAGCTGTGCGCGAGGTTCGTTTAATCCGTTGCTACGTGTGCTTTAGGTTTGTTGTGCGTCTTATCGCTAAAGTATACCAAAATACTAGTGAATCCTCCAGCAGTCAGTCAAGTGTTTCCGCAGTTGTTGTTGTTCCGTTTTTTCTATTGTTGTTGCTGTCACACTTGCTAAAGCGCATTTACCATTTGCCTTGCTATGCAATTACGAAATCTTACGTAGAAATTTTATGTGTGTTCCATGTGGCTATAAATACAACAACGCCAGCGCCAAATATATGATCGCACGGAACAGTCGGTCGGTTGATCCGTCCGTCCGTACGTCGCCTGGTCAAAGAAAGAAGCAAAAACGCTAAATACACACACACACACACATGCACAGAGAGAAATAAGAAAACAACAAGAGAAACTGACGGGTTGATTGACTTGCAGGAATTTGAGACCCAAAGGCCGCCGACGCCGACGCCAACAGCCAAAAGCCGTCAGCATCAGAGATTCAACATCCATATCCACATCCCCGTCCACGTCCACGTCCGTGTCCATAGCAACATCTCCAGCAGTTAACCGCAGCTTCCGTTGCTTATCTGCCGCACGAGATTCTGACGCCGCGGCTGCCTCCTGTGATTATGAGGAGGGGGAGGCATATGAGTTGCGGTTTCTGTAAGTTGCACATTGAATTTACGATTATATTCAGTATAGCACACAGTTCTCGAACAAAACTCACAAATATTTATAACACACACGCACACACACACGCACACGCACACATTTGCATATGCGTTAATATTCATAAAAGTAAATTGTAAACATGTCGAAGCTGTCTGGCTTTTCTTTAATTGCGAATCAATAGGATGCGCATAAAAATCAACATAAAAGTCGTAGCGGGAATAAGGGCAAAGATCTGAGATCTGAGGCACTGATAAATGATTAAGCATAAATAAAACGCGTAATTAAATTGTTAAACACAGCAGTCGAAAACAGCCGTCAGTTATCAATTGGTTTTTGGCAGTTTAAATCGTTTGTTTTCTTCGAAATTTCCCAAGCAGAGTTTAGTTAAAAAACAACTGCGCGGGCGATTAGCAAAACAAACCGACGCATTTGGCCAACTGTTTGTTTGGCTGCTGCTGTTTTCCATCAGCTCCACAGATGACACCCACACGTATTCGAAAAAGTAAAGAAAACATATGCGGCCATTAGAATTTGCTTTTTAGTAAATTATAGATGGATATCTTTTTTTTTTAATATTCTCATGGTTAAATATACAAATGGTCAGCCATAAAAGGTCTGATTAAACCAGAAGCCATAAGAAAAAAATATTTATTTAACAAAAAAAGGTATTTGTCAGAAGTGGGATTCGAACCCACGCCTACAGAGTAGACTGCGACCTGAACGCAGCGCCTTAGACCACTCGGCCATCCTGACATCTGGCATGAGAAGAGCTAATGCTCATTTAGTACTGCCTGAGTATGCGCTGTTAAGGCGCACTGTTAGCTGAACAGTGTTATAAATAGCTTTATGGGAACTGTTGTTTCAAGGGATTTCAATTTCCATTAAATTTCCCATGTTAATTTGTTGGCATATTAAATAAATAACATGCAGTTAAGTAATTTGATTCGCTTTTAAGCTTTATTAAATTTATATTTAAAATGCAATTTTATGGCATAATTATTGCAAATTAAACTGATTCGATCTGCTGTTTGTGTAAAAAGCGCCGACCAGTTGTTGTTGTTGTCTAGATAAATCTTATCGCTGCTGTTGTGGGCTGGGCCCCGGAGACAATCGCATTAAGCAAAGCACAAAAACAATAACAATAACAAAAACAAAACAACAAGCCCCACAGATTAGTCATGAAAGAACATTAACCGATTTACTTGTAAAAAAAAAAGAGAAAGAACGAAAGAAAAAAACCAATCTCTCGCCTACAACGCCTCCCCCCGGACCAAAAAGAGAGTTTCCAAAAACAAAGACCAGTAAAAAATGAGGCTAACCCGCATTCATGGGCGCTAATAATGCGGTTCGAAGGCGTGTCATTTCCAGACTCTGCACCTCACAATCCTCTCATATTAAAGGCGGCAGCTTTTGTTGTGCCGCACATAAATATACATAAATATACGTGTATATTATTTATGATATGGACAGCCTCTGTGGGATATTTTGTTGGCTTTTTGTTCTTCGCTGAGAGATATTTTAATGAGTGTCTCGACACTTGGCGACATTTTCATTTGATTTATGGTTAAAACAAACCAAAAACATAAAGTTCATTATGCCCGGTCTTCATTTAGTTGTTATTTTGTGTTGTCATTTTTTGCATAAATTAAAATTGGAACGCTTTCAATTTCAGTTCCGTTTCGTCTCGCAAATCTCTTCAGATGCGTACACAATCCAAGCATTTGTAGCTGTAGCTGAAGAATAGAAGAGCATTGTTTATAATTGTATTTAGAAGATACGCTTTGACTTTGTGCCGACAACTATTTTATTTAGCTATTTATAGGCAAATGCATGTGTATTTGTGCGAAAGTATTTTCCGTTTTAATATGCATGCGCATTTCGAGCTAATTGTTTGTTTATCTAAGGGAAAAAACCAAATGCCATGAAATGTTTTGACATGCCGCACAAATTTTCCGCATTACCATTGAACTTTTGCCTCAATCTCAGATCTGTGCCCGATCTGTATAAATTCACAAAATCATTTGCAATTTTTACTATCAGTTTTTCAAAGGCGAGCCTTGTCTCAAGTCACGCGTCTCGCGTGGCCTGATAATAAAAAATGCTTTATATTTGTAGAAATATGGGTCAAAAACTCGACTCTATCAACAATTGCGCACGCAATTTTCATTCATTTAAATGTGCCTTTTGCCCGTATCGAATGTCAGAGATCGACCCCTGGAAAGGTGTTCCGATCTATCGACTGACACGATATGTTGTGACAAGCGGGAAATAAAGAACTGACACCGTTCTTAATACAAGCCAGAGTTGAATATATTGCGAATACACACTTAAGTGCATTTGTTTATAAACAATGCGCGCCGATATGCCAGTTGACACAGTTGAGTCTCGGTTTCAGGGCACGGGCTCAATGCCATTTTTGTTGGGCCAGTTCTGTTGTGATATTGTATTATTCTGCAGAGTTGTTGTTTCTTGTTGTTCTTGTCGATTCGCAAAAACAACTGCGTCAACAGAATCCAAATCAAAGCATTTGTCGGACAAGGTCTGAGCTATTTTCTTTTTTGCCTTTATCGGCAAGCGCTTAAATGCGATAAATATGGGTCAGGTATAAAAGCCATTGAAGCTACTTCCTTAAGACCGCTAATTTCTGTCCAGATACTCGGCACGTGTAGGTAGAGTTCTCTAAAGGCGTATTATAAAGCCTTTCGCGGCACGTCCAATGTGCATTTTAATGCGATGTCAATGGCAATTGTTCTCCATTGGGCTAAACGACAAATGCTCGAAACGTAAAAAGATAAGATTTGTGTATATTTTTTATTGCTGTAGTTAAGTGCTTTGATTTTTTATTGCGCTCCATGATGCAGGGTATTCAACTGCCTATAAATACACAAAGCAAAAAAAAATAAATAAAGAAAAAAAAAATTGTCAGAAGTGGGATTCGAACCCACGCCTACAGAGTAGACTGCGACCTGAACGCAGCGCCTTAGACCACTCGGCCATCCTGACTGTTGGCGACCCGTTGTCAAAACTGAAATACAAGCTGCTACACACTGTGGAGACACTCGAACAGCATTGATTTAGCGAATAATGTGTGGTGACAAAACAAATATAAATAAATATATTTATTTTACGGTCAATTTGAATTGCTAGCCAATTTTAGACAAAACCAATGCCCGAATGTCAATCAATGCTCAGAGACCATAAATATGGATAATAGCTCTTATTAAATCAAAAAGAAATAGGCGGGAAATCGTGCGATCTTTGTAGTTCTTCATGTGGACGCGTATTATTTGCTCAAAGATGTCAATTCGCTCCATGGTGCACAGCCGAAGATTGACCTGAAATCTGGACTCAAGCAGATCCTTGGCCAGGTTATTGAAATCTTCGACGAACAATTTCATAACTTCATCCTCCTTGGCAATGGCCGCTTCCCGATGCTTTTGGAATAGATCACGAATGGTGGTCTGTTGGATGTTGCCCTGCATTATCTCGAGCCAGGCGACTTGAACGTAAGGATTGTGCAACTGCGATTGTCGGAGCACGTTTGTCTCACGTATAAAGGAAAATGTGTTATATATGCCGACCGTCTTGTCCGCTTCGGAGAACAGCTTGAGTATATTTTTATTGATTGGATTGTCGCGACACAGAACGAACTTGAGCGTAAAATTTTCCAACTTTGGCATCTCTATGGATATCAGATTGTATAATAGATCGCACATGAACTGGCTCAAGCTCTCCATTTTGGTATCCTCGACGACATTCATATAGATCACATGGTACGCGTGGTGTGTGATGCCGCACACACAGAATATAATTGTGCTATATTTGAAATTGAGTGGATAGATATCGAAGCACAGAAAGCACTCGTTGTCCAGCGGATCCTGTCGGGCACGGCTCTTCAATACACCTGTCCGCTTAACATATTTATTCTGTATATTCCTATCGTCGAGTGGCTCATTTCGAAAGCAGTCAATGCACCGCTGCTGATCTGCTGCAGTTAGTTCTGTAAATGATTGAAGGGTTTTTATCTGTAGTCGTTCCGTACCCATAGCTGAGAAATGGGTAATACGCGTGCTGGCAAAGCTGAGCTGAAACGGGTCCGAGCCAGACAAGACTAGACGTGCCTGCTAGAAAAGTAAAAATCTGTATATACGAGTTTTGAGGCTTTTATTTGACAGTATTCAAGCTATGCTGCTGAGGTTGTGTGTACTCCGCCAATTTGTGCGAATCGGTATACAAAAAAGGCGGCCAACTTGAACCTGAACTTGACCCACAACGCGATTTGGGACTGACAAATGGCAATTTACAACGAAATGAATGGATTCGCTTAATCATTTATCAACTGCCCAATTGACACGCCCCGTCAATATCCATAATTGCTAAATTGTGCCCAAGTAATCTCGGTGATTAATGTGAGCATTTTTGAAGATTTAAATGTTCGGGTTCTCTCAGAGTTATCGCGTTTCACGGGTATCTCGCTGCTCGCTTCATTTGCATAATTGCAATTTATTGTAAATCCGTGTGCAAATATGCCAGAAATTCAGCTAAGACTCTGTAAGGCAAAGCATTTGCCGCCAAAGGCCGACGGCTTTTCACAATTCGCATTCAGCTGGCAAGCTATGCAAATGTGCATTGAAAAGAATCGCAAACTCATTAGAAACTACAAATGTATGAACAATTCTCTAGGCAAGTGTCTCACAGGCCACGTCTCTGTCACATTTGACAATTGAGCCCCACACTATCCATCATCTATGCCAATCGCTTGACATTCAATCAATGCAGCCAGCTGACAATTCTGCTAATTAGCTGTCAGTTTGCATCGATTGATAGAAACTACAAATAAGACTGCACAAATGATTGACAGGCCAAATCCAATTGTATATGCTAAATTAAAGAACTTAAAGAAATTGAGCTTCGAAGCTAGTAATTGTATTAAAACTCAATCTTAAGCTGGTGGGAGAATCGATAGAGAGTTAAAGTTAGACGAGTCAGCGAGTTAGAAAGATGAATTCTCAACTTCCTCTCTTATACAACACAGCTCATAAGCATCGCCTTTCTATGCGATTTTCATAAATTTAAGTGGCAACTCAATGTTTTAACATATTTTTCATTGAGTGTCTAGCGGAAATACTGTTGATAATTCAAAGGTTTGCATGAGCAGTAAAAACTGAAATTAGCTGAAATAATTAGCTTCGATTGCCAGGCAGAGGGCAGCAGCTGTTTGGCATGGCCGGCACATACCTTGTAAACCGCTTTTCTAGAGTATTCGAGGTCAGTTGAGTCAGTTCTTTGTGATCGACCGACGCACTTTTACGTATAAGCACAAACAATAAGATTCATTTACGATTCCCAGTATTTAGCTTGTGCAATTTAAACTAAAATGGTTTCCTCCCCCTTTCCACTGCCCCCCTCTCTCTCTGTGTATATATTACAGATTAAACACGCCATTAAATGGCATATGGACTATTATGGCAGCTCCCACGCAAGTCACGAAAATTGAGCAGCGCGCCGCGATTTCTCAGTGCCAGATTCTGAGACACAATCACCGTCTGCGTCTCCAAGTCAGCCGCCGTGTCTTCGCCACGCAATCCGCAGCCAAATTAAAGCCGACCACGTAAAGCTCAAGTTCAAAACGACGGCAATCGAAACAATAAAAAACTAAAGAACATTAAATACCAACAAAAAAGTCAACAGCGACAATAAATTAAGCGTGTGCTAAGAGTAACAACAGAAAAGGTGTTGGCTGCATTTTGTTGTCGCCTTCGCTGGCTGCCACCACAAAGTGGGTCAGACAGAGGCAGGCAGAGAGTCAAGAGCTTGCGAAGACGCCGCTGACAGCGCGACAGGGGCACGTAACCAAGGCATCATGCAGCAGTATATTTAATTCAAGAGAATTCGACAAATTGCGAGCCGAGTTGTGCACAACTTGTTGTTATTTATACATAATTCAACGGTTTGTTTTTTTGCCTTACTTCTTATTGTTGTTATTGTTGTTGGTTTGTTTGTTTATGCAATTATGCAACGTGCAGTGCGGCGCTGAATGAAATGTCAGCACCAGCAATAACAATAGCAACACGCGAACAATAACAATAACAGCACGAATTCATTGATAAATACAAAGAAAAAATATCGCGTATACGCCACGCGCTCTCACAACTTTCCGGCAACTCTCTCGCGCTCTCTTGCGCTCGATCGTAAACAAACATGAACTCACCACAGCTCGTCAACACAGCGGCGCAAGCTCACCACAGCAGCAACAGCAACGCCAGCAGCAGCAGCAACAACAACAACAGCAGCCAAGCACAAACAACGTCCGCAAATAAATTTGCGCCCGCACGTAGGCTAGCCGCGAGGCAAACACTGCGTCTGGCCATACCCAAGCAACAGGGTGACTCAGTTACGCTGCCCCATGCCCAGGCGAGCAACATTTATCGGCATTCGCCCTCGCAGCTGCCGCCAGCGCCGCTGCTCAAGCGTCACACTGCATCTGTGGCGGCCGCAGCTGGCAACTGTGGCAGTGGGGGCAACAGTTTTATACCCAAGTCCGCATCGCCGCTGGAGTCGCACAAGCTGCCAAATGTCACGCCCACTGGCAATGCAACCCCATCGATATACAATGGTGCGGCTGGCAGTGGCAGCGCCTCTTCCTCGACCAGCTCCAACTTTTTGGGCGTACGCAAGCCCAGTCTAACGCTCAACTCGTCGGACATACGCAACAACAATGACTTGTTTGCCTTTGCCAAGGACATGTCGCCAGCATTGGAGCTGAGTGGTGAGTTTGTGGCATGCTGGAACTGTAGCTTAATTTAACTTTTCTACTTTTACTCTTTATAGATCACTCGCACTCGCATTCACCCATGTTCGCACATGATATAAGCACTGCCATATCGCCGGCAAATAGCAATGGCTCTCCGACACATCATCAGCTGGGCAGACTCTTCAGCCTGAGTCCTTCGAGCATGAGAAGTTACGGCAATGTGAGTAGATTATTAAATTGTATGCCTTTAAACTAGTTCACATTATCTGAACAATTGTCTTATATTATAACTCTGCCACGTATAAGAGCCCAATGGGGGCTTACAAGTTCCACTTTGAGATCCAGTTCAAAAAACAGGCTCACAAATCTAAGGAGCAACACTAACAGGGATAAGAGCCCAAAGAACTAGTTTTACTCTGCACAGGTTCCAATTCGAGATCTAGTTCAAAGAACACGCTCAGGCAACACTCGCGATGCCTAATAGCTATTTATAGACGCCGCCGCAAAGGTCTGTCAAAGTACATTTCAGGCGTTCAACTGTACTCTCTCTTCCTCGCTCCCTCTCTCTTTCGCTTCCTCTCTCCTCTGTCCCTTTGGCACGCACCCTGCCTGATTTTGCATATTCTGTTGACCCACAACCGAAAAGCTTTACAAACACAAACACACAAGCCCAATCGTCATTTCGTCCCATATATTTAACCATTTATAAAGCTCACACCTCACGCGACTCCACTAAGAAAAGGGTGGGGGGCGTCTAGTTGGGGCGCGAGCGGGTGGCCGATGACACTCCCAGCGAGGCTCACGAAACCGGCTGGTCGCAGCAATGTAAATAGGTAGAAAATAGCGTCAACTTAATTAATAAATAATATTTAGCACGATTTGAATAAGGGGGCGCGGTAAAGAAACCAAGAGAGAGTCAAGAAGCGAGCAGAGAAAAGCGAGAGACGTATAACGATGTGCCTGACGAACTCACACCCATACATACATGCATATGGATATGTATGTGTATACACAGACGTTATGGCTCTATGAATAATCGGCATTCGGTTAGAACTGTGTTTTGATTTTTAGCATGGCTCGTGCGTCGTCATCACGCCTGACTCTGACTCTGTGTGCGCTACCCTTGGGGTAAGTTGATTCGCAGATGCGCCTGGTGTTCTCCTATGAACGATTGATAGGGCTGATTAGCTTGAGTGTGAATCAGTCCAAGTACAGTCAAAGACTGTGTACTTTAGACCTGTAGATTATAAAGTTCTGCTGATAATATGTACAAGACATCAACATTTTAATTAAAAGCAATACGCGATGACCTATAAAATAAGTGTAATGCGAGCGTGATAACGTGCATTTCAGTTGGACATTATAGTATTACTATCTTATGAACTATAATAGTATAATACAAATAATAGTAAACAACTAACATTTTTAGTACAAAACTATAGTGTTGACTATTATAGCATGATATAAATAATAGTAAACAACTAATTTTTATAGTATTTTACTATATTATATTTGCCAAGAAAAATACAAATATCATTTTCAAGATCTTGACGTTTTCGACAAGAAATTTAATCGATCATCTAAATATGGTATATGTATATACATATATGTATATATGTACATATATTGAGCTTCTTTTGGAATTTTGATATGGCTCGTATACATGTACATACATATAATCTAAATATTAGTAAAGAACTATTACTTATAGTAGATTACACTATGTTCGAATATTTTTCGGGAAAACTGCAAATATCGAATGCTAGATTTGGCCGGGGAATATAGTTGATGATCATCTATATGTATATGAAATATCTATGTATGTACATGTGTGTGTATATACATATATACCTAAAAATATATTGAGCTACTTATGAAATTGTGGTTAAATGCCACATGTATACATATATACATATAACTATGACAATTATTATGATTTTATTATGATTATGATGATTTTCTGGAATTCTCGGTTGTTTCTTAGTTATTCATTTATTTATTTTCAATATGAATTTGGAGCTGTTGAGCATACAAAATTCAGTCAGGCATCCACCAATAAGCGTTTTTTACACCTTGTTCTGGGACTTTTTATTATTATTTTTTTTTCTTTGAAACTATTTGACAAGCTCTTCATCGCACAAAACGTGAGCGTGAGTGGCTCTTGCCGTTTGCCCCGTTCTTCTTCTTGTTTTTGTTGTATATAGCTACAGGTACCTGTACCTGTACCTGTAGTACATATGTATACAATATGTATTTGTACATATAGTATACTTGATACAAGCATAGTCAGCTCTGGGCATATTAATTTTCTGCTGGCTTTGGCTGTGGCTTTTGAGGTGTACGAGAGCCAACAACCGGTACGGAAGAAAAAAATAAT